GGAGAAGAAACCAGAGGAAGAGAGGGGAGGGAGAAAACGGCTGCAAGCCACCAAAAAATATTTCAATTCTAATTCATCATCAATTGTCTCAAATGAGAAACAAAACAGAAATAAATAGTAGAACACAAACCCTAAAGAGAAGGGCTTGGGCCAAACTCACTAAACAAGCCCAATAACAGAAATATAAATAATAATCCAAATAGAATATAACTAATAGTCCAAAAAGAAAATAAATAGTAAATGGATGTCCGCATCACCTATCTTCCATCTTACGATATTTTTGTCAGCAGAGGCAAGTTGGTTTCTGAATTGATGATGAACTTGAAGATCCTATCTTTAATGATGAGGTTGATTCCATCCACCATCCAAGAATCTCTGCTGCTTGCTACTTGAAGGAACTGCCCGCTTACCAACAATGGCATCAATCTCTTAACTCCGATGAAGAATTTACTTCTGATGACGAGGTGTGCGACAATTAAGATATCTTACTAACTTCATAGTTGCTGTTTACAATTTCATATTTATTGATAAACAATCCATCTCCAGATGTCCTTATCCTTGCTGTTTAAAACTTCCAGAAAGTTAGCCTTCATACACCAATAGGCGTAAAAATGATGATGGTGGCACATGGTCAGAAGCAAGCCAAGAAGCTGAGGCATTAGTTCGCTTATATGAAAACTCTGGCTGTTCCTCATCTTGTGGTGCCTTTGTGAAAGAAAATAAATCCTCTCAAAGGTATCGCGTCTTTTTCTCTTTCCTACAATCCTTTTTGACAATTTAGCATTATGTTTGTTGCACATATGGACTGTGACCAAAGTTTCATGCTGCTGTCAATTATTTGTTCCTTATATTTCAATTTTGACCATAAACAATCAAATTCTTCCACGCTTACGCTTCTTATTTGACAAGCCACCAAAAGAGAGAGGAACATAATGCAACTCGACTTGCAATAAATGAAGAATGTTTGCTTGACTATCATGTAAAGAAATCGTGGGGGAATTAGCCTATTGTTAAATTGAAGACATATTTGAATTCCTCTCACTTGCAGATCACTTAAACTCTGAGACTTTTCTTCTGTTGGGTAAGAGTTATAATTGAATTTTCGATGAAAAACAAATCAAATCTCGATCTAGATCGTTTTCCTTCATATATGCAAAAAAAAAAAAAAAAAGATTTTTCAAATAATGGTAGTCAAACAGGGGGTGAATAATACTGCCACGATCTGATAAACTTCAGCCAGATTATACATATATCATATATGCATATTTAGATCTCTCGTTTTTTTTAATCTGTGAGAAGATTTTGTTCACAAAATGTCAACTCTTAGGCATCTGTAATATTAACTATGGGCATGTAACGATGACAATTCCTGAAATACAGTTGATTATCGATGTTGACCTCCAAAAATGGCTCCAACAGGTTCCCTAGCCGCGTCCCCTCGAAATCTGTGCAAAGTAGCACGCCGTCAAGAGGCAAAGGTGACTGGACGAGAAAAAGGTCCGGCGATCGTTTGCACTCCGACGGTTAAGTCAATAGCCGGATGGAGATATATATATAGAGTGCAATAGTATGGAGATGGGGGTTTGGCCAGAGAGTATAGAACATACCTTAGTTGTGTGAGTGAATCCATATATATAGAGAAATGGAAGTGAAATGGGCCAAACGGGTTGGTGGGACGAAGTCCAAGCCCAACAAGGAGGTGATCATATGAACATAATAATAGGCACTTCGACGAGCGCCTCGACTGAACTCCTTAGGGCCTCGGTGGCGCCTCGACTGGCCTCATCAGAGCCTCGGCTTTGGGACCCAATTCCGATGGGCCTCGTCAGAGTCCAATAAGATGGCCCAATATGAAGAGTTAATTTATAGGCATAACAGTAGTCCCCCAAGTCCGAGTCGTATTATTTATATGCGGGTCGGACTTGAAATATAAACTGTCAAGTAGGCAAGGTCTTACAGATTACCTTAGAAAGATGGGTAGCTCCAATAAGCGAAGACTTACGAACTGCCTCGAAAATATGCATCGATGTCGAATTTGCGAGAACTTACGAATTGCCCCGAGAAATATGAGTCGCTTCAATAAGTGAGGACTTACGAATTGCTTTGAAATATATACTGCATATATTTTTTTGAAATTTCGGCAGCATCTCATCTGTAATATGGACTAAACAAATCATGTAATACAATACAATATATCCACAGCACATATACCAAATAAATTTGGGGTCCATTTGCCCCTTCAAATGCTCATAACTATAAGGTGTGACATATCTCATTTCACCAAGATATGTGCAGAGGGTCTGTTATGCATTATAGTAAATCATGTGCTCACACAACTCAGTGTATCAATAGTGCTATAGTGAAGAAAGTAACATGATATTGACAATAAAATGAAAATGATGATAATACGACATACGTACTGGCTGTGATGAAAATAATGTATGACATGCTAGCAGTGATATGACATTCATGTTTGGAAGCAGTAATGTGATGCGTATGCTAGCAGTGATATGACATTTATACTTGGAAGTAGTAATGTGATGCGTATGCTAGCTGTAATATGTAGTCCCCCAAGTCTGAGTCGTATTATTATATACGGGTCGGACTTGAAATGTAAGCTACTGTTATAAAGTTGATGTAGAGAGGATACTCTGGATGTAGTAGCAGAGACGATGCTCTAGACACAGTAGCGGAGATGAAGCTCTAGATGTAGTAGCGGAGGGGATGCTCTGGATGCAGTAGTAGAGGCGATGCTTTGGATGTAGTAGCAGAGGCAATGCTCTGAACTGAATAAAAGTAGTTGTACTGATATTGAAGCATACCGATGTATATCAGTCGTTGACTTTTTAAGATTAGCTGTATATGGTTGCTGCTGCAGTTGTAGGTTCAACTGTCTCTACCAAACGCTGACTCATAGGATGGTGCGTGGGAGATGCTGAAGTTTGTGAAGCTGAAGGTCGGGACACATTTTCGACTGCGGCGTTGAAGCTTCGATGCTGTTTGAGGAAGGAGCTTATCTACCACCGGTGCGTTGACTCACAAGGGATGACGCGTTGGGAGACGGCTATAGCTTTGTAAAGCTTAGGAGGGAACGCAGTCACCGAGGCGATAACCCACAAGGGACTCCACATCAAGTGCATTTAAGCTTTGTAAAGTTGAGTGAGGAGTTCATCTGCCACCGGTGTGCTGACTCATAGAGGACGACGCGTTGAGGGATGGCTAAAGCTTTGTAAAGCTTAAAAGGGAACGCAACGACCAAAGCGATGACCCACAGAGGATCCCGCGTCAGATGCGTCTAAACTTTGTAAAGTTGAGGATATCTGACGGAGTAGGGGATAGATGTCCCGCGAGTAACTTGAACTATCGGAGCCATAAGCAGCCTGGGAATGTAGATGACTCAGAACTCTGCTCGACGATAGGAAGCGAGAAGAACACATCGTGTGAAGCAGGGATAAACATCTCATGAAGTGTCGAACTATCGGAGTTCTATAAGCTGGCCTCAGGTAGACGAGGGCTTAAAGCTAAGCTCGAAAATAGCGAAGTGAGGAAAAGACATCTCACGAAGCTAGGGATGAACATCAAGCGAAGTGTCGAACTATCTGAGTTTTATAAACTGGCCTTGGATAAACGAGGGCTTAAAGCTAAGCTCGGCGATATCGAAGCGAGAAAAAGACATCTCGCGAAGTAAGGGATGAACATCTGGCGAACTGTCGGATTATCAGAGTTAGGGTTGGGCAAATCTCCCGAACCGAACCGAACTGAACCGAACCCGACGGTTCTTATCAAATTAAATACCCGAACGGGTATCTGAATTGAAAATCGACGGGTATGGTTCGGTTCTCAGTTCTAGACCAAGAATCGAAAAATCGAATCTTTCTATTTTTTTTTTATATTGAGTAAATCAACTTATTTTAATTTTAATTTTTTCTAAACAAATTAACAATTTCTAAATCCAAATTTTTGGCCCAATAATTTGTTTCATTTCTTATTTTTTAATTTTTGGCTCAATTACCCATTTTATTGTTTCATTTCTTAACCCAACAAGATTCAATCCACTAAATAACCCTAAACACCTACATTAAAGTGCATAACGTTGTCTCGACTCTCATACTCACTCTCGCAACCTCGCTAATATTCCAAAACCTATACAATCGTCGGCCGACACTATGACCTCCGATCGAAGCTATGACCTCCGCCGATCGAAACTTTAATCGTAGTGATCATTTGAACAAGATAGTTTACTAGTCTCTAACATTCCAAAACCATTGAATGTATCATTAGTTGTATTTATATAATGTTGTTATAAATATTAAAAAATTTAATTATAGTACAGAACCGAACCCGAACGGTTCCATAATTATATTTGGCCCGACGGTTCCATTTACTAGATACCCAAAAATTTTGGTTCGATTCGGTTCTCTTTAGAACCGAACCGACCCGCGCCCACCCCTAATCGGAGTCTTATAAGTCGGCCTCGGATAGACGAGGGTTTAAAGCTAAGCTCGTCGATAGTGAAGCGAGGAAAAGACACCACGCGAAGCCAGGGATGAACATCTGGCGAACTGTCGAACTATCGGAGTCTTATAAGCTGGCCTCAGATAGACGAGGGCTTAAAGTTAAGCTCGACGATAGTGAAGCGAGGAAAAGCCATCTCGCGAAGCCAGGGATGAACATCTGGCGAACTGTCGAACTATGAGAGTCTTTTAAGCTGGCCTCGGATAGACGAGGGCTTAAAGCTAAGTTCGACGATAGTGAAGCGAGGAAAAGACATCTCGCAAAGCCAGGGATAAACATCTGGCGAGGCAGGGAATAAACATCCCGCGAATAAGGCCAGGAAATGCTCCTTTTGCAAAGGCAAACACGTCTGGCGATTTGCCTCTTCCTTTTTTCAAGGAACGAGGACTCCAAATTGTAGCCTCTTCAGAATAATGAAGTAATGGCAACTTCCATATTTTTATCTTCCATTTTTATGGTCCGAAGGAGATAGCTCGAGTGAACAAATTGAAATGGTGGACTGATGACCATGAGTTTGAAGTCCTCTTTTTCTAGTCTTTTTATTTCTAATTCTCCAAGTCAAATAATATTTTTGCCCTTTTCCCATGTGATTTGGAATAATTGGCAGGCCAAAATGGAGGAAAGAAAGAACACCCAGCCAATAAATAGGACAAAACGAGGCTAGAGTAGTGTGACCTCATTGAACCCAGCCAAAGTGCTAGCCTCTTCAAAAAAAAAACTAGAAAAACTTGATGCCTTGGCTTAAAGCCAAGGACGATGGTAGGCTCTGATTCGAGAGAGGCAATAATTGTATCAAACTGAAGAAATATAGTGTCGATTTGCAGCTAATTAAGAAGAAGCCGAAGTGGGAGAGTCGAAGTAGAGCGGAGGGCCGAAGTCAACTCACGTGCCCAGCAAGCTCAAATGTTTTAATGTAATTGAAAGAGTTATGGGCCAAGGGAAGATAAATCTTTGAGCCCAATATATATATTTTCTTATGGTAAATGGCAGCCCACTATAATAGCTTCATTTCTTAAAATGGTTTGGGCTCTAAAAAAGGTTTGGGACACTAATGGGTTGACTCGTTTCAACATATGAGTAGATATATATT